GACGGGGTTTCACCATGTTGACCAGGATGGTCTCGATCTCTTGACCTCGTGATCCACCCGCCTCAGCCTCCCAAAGTGCTGGGATTACAGGCTTGAGCCACCGCGCCCGGCCTGAGTCTCAATATATATATTGCCCAGGCTAGTCTTTAACTCCTGGCCTCAAGCAGTCCTCCTGCCTTGGCCTCCCGAAGTGCTGGGATTACAGGTGTGAGGCACTGAGCTAGTCAGGAATTCTACTTGATGGCTTCATTTTTCTCTGTGGGAAAGGAGAATTGGAGTATGGAATGGGGAAGAGGCAAAGGTTTGGAAAAGCCACCATCAGGAGGAGTCTAGGGACAAACAGAAGTTCCTGGATAGTGTGTGGGGCTCAGCTGAGGGTGGAGGCAGTGATTTGCAGATTTGATCTTTTCAGAGTCTTAAATATAACTCAACAGAGTTGAGTTATAATGAAGATTAAGAAATCTCTCAAGGCCAGGCGTGGTGGCTCACGCCTGTAATCCAAGCACTTTGGAGGCCAAGGCGGGCGGATCACCAGAGGTCAGGAGTTCAAGACCAGCCTGACCAACATGGTGAAACCCAGTCTTAAAAAAATAAATAAAAGAAAAAAGAAAAAGAAAAAAAGAAATCTCTCAATTATTCAACAGAGGCAATGAATGGACCAAGGGATCGGGGAGCTCCCTGACATTAGAGAATGCAGTATGCAGTATACTGTGAAAGCCAAGCAGAAAAGCAGGTTTTGTTTGGGAGGGGAGTTTGACTTTAGGATTTCAGGTGAAATACTTGTGTGACCCTGGAGGTGTGTGGCTGAGGTGCTGCGGGGTCACTGGAGAAAGGTCAAGGGACTGTGGCCCGGTTGGCCCCAAGGTTGTTAAAGTCTCCGAGATTCCAGGGCGGCATTATGAGCCACGTGACAGACCTCCCAAGACTGGCTGACAGCGAAGCATAATTGAGAAGATGGCGGCCCAGCGAAGACCTCATCAGAATAGGTCTGTACACAGAGCAGCATAGAGTGCAAGAGGGTAGTGAAGAGCAAGGGGAATGCCGATCCTTCCTCCTTTTGGGGCCAAGACAGAGGCGATGTGGGCAGGGTAGAGAGGCCGGGGAATTGGCAGAAACCGACTCCATCTCTGTACTAAAAGTGGGCTGGGGCAGGGCTGGATTTCTGGAGGCAGTGTGCAGTTCGCAGTAACTTGTTCTGTGGCTCCGCTGTGAGCCTAGTTTCTCGGTGGGTACCGAGGGGAGCGCGTCGGAGCCCTATGCTCCTTTGAGCCAGGGGAATCCGGCAGGACCCGAGGCAGGGGAAACACGGCCGAGCCGGGAAGCCCTTGAATGGGGGGGCGAGACCCGGCAAGGCAAGCTGGATGCGTCTCACGTCTCCTTGGTGACGGGACGCGTAGCCCGGAAGTGGGCGGTGCTACCTGCGGGGCGGGGCATCTCTGTGACGCCAGGGGCTGGGCCTCGATGGCGAAACCCAAGCGGCTCCCGGGGGGGTTTGAACTGGCCAATGGGCGAGGTGCCGACCGGGTGTCGGAAAAGGAGGCGGAAGCGGGGAGGAGCCGCCGCCAGAGCCGGACTACATCCGCCGCGGCGTCTCCATGGCACGGCCCTGGCCTCCGACTTCAACGACTTCATAAGGCGGCGTTTCTGGGCTCAGCCGTGTCGCTCCTGGTGAGAGGCCGCCGGCTGGCGGGATCCCGGGCGCGACCGTCCCCTTCGCACCCCCGGCGCGATTGGCCCCGTGGGGCCGTCGGGTCCTGGGCCCCCACCGCGTAGCGCCCGTCCCGCTCCTGTCAGAACCTGGCCCCCCCCCGCCCCGCCCACCGGCGCGGGGCCTCTCCTCCTCGCGCTAACGGGCGGCCGGCCGCCTCCTTTCTCTCCTGGTCACCGCGGGGCTCTGCCCCTCCTCTGCCGCCCACGGCCAGGGCTTCGCGTTTCTTTCTATGGGCAGAAGCCGGTCCCTTCCTGCCCGCTGGTGGGTGGCCGTCCCTTCTCTTCGCCGACGGACGCTGTCCCTCGCTCTGCTGCCTGCCGGCGGCATCTCCGCATCCGCCTCGTCCTCCCCGCGGGCCTCGGCACGGCAGTCACTTGCCCTCCCACCGTAGGCAGCGCTGTCCCCGGGCACCGTCTTCGGGTCTCCTGGGCCCTTGCCCGGCGGGCCCCGCCCGTCCGCTCCCAGCCCGGCGTCTAACCCGCTCAGAACTCGGTGGTTCGGTTTTCCCTCGCGGCTGGGCGCCCGGGACTCGGCGCACCTCCGCGCCTAGCTCCTTCAAACACTATTGGTCCTTTCGGGCACCTGTTCTTCCGGGAACGCCCCTTCTCCTAGGAAACTGTTGCCCGACCCCGCCCAGCATCTCCGCGGCTCCCTGCGCGGGTCCGGCCCTCTGGGGCCCACTGGGGGCCAAGCGGTTCTCACCCTCCCTCTCCACACGCCCGCTGGCGCCTCAGGTTTCCCCCGGTAGCCACCGGCCGCCCTCCGCTTGGGGCCCGGGCGCGGTGGTCCTTTCCCTCGCCGTTGCTCCCGTTCCCTCCCCTCCCTCTCCGCTGCTTCCAGGTCGCTCAGCCTCTCCTGTCTCCCCCTACTTTGGCAGGACAGTTGCTGTGTGACTTGGACAGTAGAGGAGCGCCTCCCAAGTTTTCATCCAACTGCCACCCCCAAAGCTTCCACTCTCCCCTCAGAGAGGACGTTTGATGCCGGGCCCCTTGAGAGGCTCATTGACAAGCCTGCCCCTCTGGGTCCCCCTGAGCAGAGCCTGCTGACCCACTTGCCCACTTTGCGGCTTTGATGCCTAGCCATGTCTGCCTCATCCTCAGGCGGCTCCCCCAGGTACTGCCGGTGTGGGAGGCGCCTGCGCCGGAGGGCAGGGAAAGGTGGCCAGGGTTCCCCAGGGCAGGCTCGCCTGAGGCTTTCAGCTTCCGCATTCTGTCTGCTGAAAGTCTGGACCAAAACATTTAAAAGTCTTTTTTAAAGGGAAGGGGGAACGAAATGCGTACAGGATCCCAGCTCTGCCTCCCACACTCCTTTCCTCCCCATATATCACAGCTTCCTGGCAGCAAACAGGATCATTCTT